AAATTTGGGCAATTAAGCACCCAAAATACAAGAACGACTTCAGGCTGACAAATGCAACTGGTTCTTAAAAAACCTTATTAAACTTTTAGCTGAATTAGTAAGCAGGTACTAGGAAGAAAACAAAATACTGTAATCTTGCTAGCAGGAATTATATCTTTCAACCACATCATGCATGCATTTATTTTATCAAAATAATTAAATTACAGTTCATTTACTAGTTTCATTATATACAATAAGAGGTTTAAAACTCTAAACCAGGAACAATTATTTTTGACTGGAAATAAGAACCAGTTAAGAACCACTTCAGCCTGATTTCTTTCTAAGTACCCGTTATATAAGCACCACTTCAGCCTGAAGTCAAAATTCACTGGTTCTTGTATGCGGGGTTTTACTGTACTGTGGCTCTTCATGCCAAAAACGTTTTAAAAATATGTAAAATACCATTACCTTTCATAAACAGCAACAGTTTCCCACTTTCCAAAAGGACTGTTGTGCCTGTTGTTCTCCTCCATGCTCTTCAAAAATAATTTCAAATACATACAAAAGTCTAGACCATCAAAAACTCAAGTGAAAAAGTTTAAACGTCAACCGCGAAATATCGGTAACTTGTCATGTATAAGATTTTAACACTGCCTATATTTTCACGTATGTAGTGAGTAGTGACAGATCGCTGAATTTACTTTTGATGATTACGGGTATCTCAATAATAGAATTATATTATAGTGTGCAGGAACTGCATGCAATTGTATTTACAAAGACAGCTTTAGGATAAAGCTAATATCTTGTCATGCAATTTTGAAACTTTTTTACTGAGTTGAAACTACGAATTGAAGTTGAAAGATCTTTATAGTATTATTAGAGATGCTGTATGATCTTAATGCATGATCACCGCAATTAAGTCATATAAAAAATATCGTTAACAACTAATTACAGAAAGAAAAAAAATGTCAAACCTGATCAGCAGCTTCGTCATTTCTTACCACTTCATTGGTCTGTTCACCTGAACTCTGTTCACTGCTGTTACTAATTATCACAATAAAAAAGTTTCTATTAAGGTGGCTACCTACACTTTTTATAAAAATGTAAGATTTTCTGATTTGAACATGAATTTCTGGACAATAATTATTTGTTGAAAAACAAAGAGTTCTGACTTGAATAAAACAATAACTAAGGAGTTCGGAGTTTTTAAAAATTTACTCCTAAAGTCGTTACTATGGCAACAATGACATAAGGTCGGTGACCCCCATTTTTTATTTTTTAGCATGATTTATTTTAGTATGTTGAATCATTTTCGTGATTTAAAAAAATTCTGTCATGCCAAAATTTTTCAAGATCGGAAAATGTAATAATTTGTAATAATTTTTTTTCGCATGACAGAATTTTTAAAAAATCATAATAATGATTCAAAATACTAAACGAATTCTTTTTATGAAATAAAAAATGGGGGTAACCGACCTTATTTTCAAGTTAAATAACTTTAAACCCAAAATATCGGACATATTGAAGCATTATTGTTGCCATAGCAACGGCAGTTGGAATGCCTTTTTTCGAAAAAATCCAACTCTGTAGTTATTATTTTTCTAATCGGACTTTCTTTGTCTTTTAATATACAGGAATGTTGAAAAATCGGGTCTAAATCGGAGGTCTTCCATTTTCTAGTAAACTGTAGGGAGCCACCTTAAGGTGATTCATCAGTAATTGTTTTGGAAATGCGAATTTGCCGAAACTTCCCAGGGGTGAAGTTTATGATATGCTCATAGTAAAAACAGAGAAAAAAGTTGGGGTCACTGAACTCGTTTCGAAGATATGACGAGTGTAACATGCTACCTTTTCCCCCATATGGCGCCATAGCTTGATCCTTTTACGAGTTACAGGAACAATCGCAATTGCTCAACCGTTGAATTTGCTTTCAACAAGGATCCTACTAAAAATGTCTATCTAGTGATTATATACAAGAAACCATGGTATTTTAGCAAATCAACAACCATTGACGTGCATTGCCATGCTGCAAAGATGTCTTTTCCCATCTTCTCAGACATGTTGTTTTGGGAAGCATGCGCGAAAAATGTAAAATATAATAAGTTGTGAAAATGATTTTTCTCGTATTTTCTGATATGACATGCATGTAGAACGTATAGAAGAACAAAAATATAAGATAAAAAAGTAGGATCACGGATCTTCTTAAAGTGATACAAGGGTTAAACAGAAGAAGATTTTATTACCATAGACAAAAATAGTAAGAAAAGAATACAAAATAAATATAACAGATTAGGTAAACAGCCAACTAAAGTAGTCACAGAATGTGACAGCATAATGTGGTTTAGTGTCAGTTGCACAGAAGCCCGAATCAAGGTATATTTCCTGAAGCACGCCTAATGAATTTCTCTTTGCCCTTACTCTTTCTTTATCACTTTACATTGCAGTTCGACTACATATATTAGCTAGAATTTGTTATTAGATATGCGCAGTAAAAGTGCGCAATGCAAAACTGATGAATCACCTTAATTAAGCGGCTGTTTACATGATCCCGGTTTGCTGGGAAGGGATGGAAGGCGTGATGATAATATGTATTGAAATAATTCACTATAGGTTAGAACGAAGTTCACGCCAGTTAAAAGAAATCAAATATTGTCGAGATCTCGTAGTTCAAGAGGACGGTTATTGAGGCTTGCCAACAACCTTTTGTTTACAATTATACTATAATCTATTACTAGAAAAATAACGTAGTTTTGCTGAATCGTGCACCGTAACTTATTTCAATACATCAAAATTCAAATTCACCCCGCCTCACATCTTGTCCCAGCAAAGCAAAACTTGTAAACAGCCCCTAAAACAGGCATGAATGATGTATCGATATCATGATGTAATTTTATACAGGTAACATTAATTAAGATGTGCATGTGGAATCACTTGTGTGCGAATAGAAAATTACCCTAACGTCTGTTGGTTCTGCTGTTGGCCAGAGAATGAAAAGCCTTCTGGAGAATCCCATCTGGACTCTAAAATAAAGTGTATACACAGACCACTACAAATTTGCAACTTGACTAGCATTCACGCTTTAAATTAACATGCAGTTAGGATGAGCTAAACGTTTATGCGAATTAGGGAAATGTAATGTGGGGGCGTTACATATATTGGACTGGTTAGGTTGCACAAACACAAAAACCTACCTCCAGTCTGGTTATTGAAGTAATACCAGTAACCTTCTGGTGTTTGGTACGCTGCCCAGTCACCATTTTCAGAATTAGACGCACCAGCATTTTCAGCACAACAACTTTCTATTTTATGTTCTTGTTTAGCTACAAATAAGCGTATATAAATTCAAGTTTATTAAAAAGCTAGTAAATAAAGAAATCACAAAAGTAGTAAATATTTAAAACACGAGCAGGAGTGCTTTATCAGATGTAAAACACGAGGAAACAGCCGAATATTTTATATCTGATAAAAGACCTTAAGATCTAGAACGGCAACGTGACGACGGCTAGTAATACAACGAAATTAATAATATTTAAGAAAAGAAATGAATAATTAAAATCCCACGTGAGATTTATACGTCGTCCACGGTCTGTTTACAACGGGAAACCAGAGCTTTCACGTCCTGTGTGTAACGTTTGCATTTTAGTACGTAACGCCTGCCGCACCGGAGAGAAACCGTCTTAGGGCCTGTTTATAAGATCCCGCCTAGACGGGACGGGACGTTTTCATCCTCGTTTTCAAACTCGCCTAGTGTTTATATGGACAACTGATACATTGCCGGGTTGAAGCCATTTAAGTGCTTGACGTCATATTTTTGTTGCAATAAAGGCATTTACGCATGCGGAAAAGGGAAACGTTCATCCCGCCTAGCCGGGATGAAGTGTTTATATGGGAATTTTCATCTCGTTTACGCGGGATCCTGGCATCTGTTGCCGAGATCCCGTCTAGGCGGGATAAGTGACGGGATCATATAAACACTCCTAGCTCAGCTATGCATTTTCACCGCACACGTTGGCTAATTGACTAATTGACTAATTGGCTCATTGGCTAATTGATTCAAGCAGCTCAGCACTAAGCTCGCAACATCAGCAGTCGACGTTGAGATTTTTTCCTCGTGAGGTGAAAAATATCAAACATGATAGATATTTTCCTCAAGGCCTGGAGAGGTCAAATCCTCACGAAAACTATCCGCACACAAGAGGAACTTGCTGAGCTAGCTGCCACGCGAGGCGGTAACTGGCGGTTAGCTCAGCAAGTTTCTCTTGTGTGCGGCAGGCTTAAGAAGTGGAAACTCCACAAATTGGTTCAGTATCAATGTAGAGTTCTACTCAATAGAAAGCCTCTGTTTTGATCTCTTCAAGCTGTTTTAAATTCATACGATTGATAATATACGATAAGCTTTCTTTACTGGCAATCATTTATTTGAATGAATTTGTTTTGGCCGTCGTTGTCGCTATGCCGTCCTACATCTTAAGGTCTCTGAAGCTGCACGGACTGCGACCCATCTTATGAGTTCATTAATGGCGAAGTAATTTTGATAATCAACGTTGTCTAAGCTGAGAAAATTAAAGCTAAAGTGACACGATGTTTTATCAGATGTCAACCACCGACACCCAGGGCCTCCGAAAGAATTCGCAGGGTCCAGGGCAAATCTCAGTTCCCTGGGGGCCCCATGACATCATTATTTTTAAGCTAAACCCAACTAGACGTTAGCTAGACTGCATGTAGAGGTACTGTAAGGGGCCCTCAATTTCAAAAATGCTCTGACACCTACTCAATTTTAGGCTCTCCCTCTCAAGTTGGTGCCCTATTAAGGTGGGGCCCCGGCGCAATTTGCCCCCTGCCCCCCCCCCCTCTCGGCGGCCCTGCCGGCGATACCGGTAGTGATTTCCTTTTCCTTTTCTTTCTCCTTTATGGCAAGATGGGTATAGATAGATAGTTTAGATAGATAGTTTATTGAATCTGAAGTATTACACAGCTAGGAAAATAGCTGAATAGTGTATTCCAAATCTGAAAAAATTATCCGTCGAGCACATTCTTGTATACTCATTCGATGTCGTCGGCGAGGTTACTAAGGCAAGGCGTTATGGTGATATTTGCGCTTGCAAAATTGTGTGCATTGACTTTCAGGCATTGAAAAATTTAACAATTCCCCGAATGCTCTAATCGATGCTTGCGCATGCATGCACTTGTATTCTCCCCTTTCCCCCGATCCAACATATGCAGTATAACATAAACGTTTCGCACTGTAATTTAAATTTATCAATGTAATGACTTCATGAGTAATGTTGACATTGAATTCCACAAAATGCATGTCATATCAGTTTTATCCCCCTCCCCCCAAAGTATGAGATCTGTAATTTATCTACATGTATACAATTTATATATGATTCATATGCAAAAACCAATACTTACGTATTGTTTCGTTTTTTAAATCCTTTGCTTTGGAATAGTTTGAATAACCAATATCTTTCTTGTACGCTTTTAATGCGGCCTTAAAGAAAAATAGAGAACAACAATCTGAATTATATCATCTGCATGAACTGAAAGTTTACCATTCTGTTTTCTGAAATCGTGAATTATCTCAATTCTTTTAACACACGTAAATTAAAACTGCATAAGTATAAATACGTGAATGGCTAGCTTATATATACTGTTGAACGAAAATTGGTCGCACGATTACGTTACCATCATGGAAGGGGAAAATAACGGACCTTGGGACCATTTGACCCAAAAAATATTTGTGGTCAGGAGAAAGAAAATAAAGAATATCAACAACAAAGTCAAATCAAAAGAATTAAAACTGCAGTGAGCGGATGAAGTGTATCTGCAGCGCTGTGGTCAGGTCAATGTCCATATTCTCCTGTAGTTCCAGAAATTGTTTCCAGCCCTGGTGACTACCCTAAAATATTTGAGTTGACATTGTTAGTCTGAAGTCAGTTCGAACTAAAACAGTATAGACGTAAATAACGGAAATCTTTGAAACCCATGTTCTTTAATGTCTATTCCCATGGGCCTGTTCTGCTACAGCCAATCCTATGAATCAACCTGCTTCTGGGTTCTACACGCAGGCTTATTTTCTCACGAAAAACTCAGTGGCGGTGGATAAAACCTCATTCAGGTAAAATCTCCTAGCTAGTAGACTTTTAATGGTGTTAATCAATATATCTCTAATCCGGTTATTGGGCTACATTACCACACAATGCGGAGTGACTCTAACGAAAGACCTCACGCATGCACGCATGCATGCACGAAATTGCGGCGTGCTAGATATAACCTGAATGTCATTTCCACCTTAGGCCACTATTTGTTGTATATTATAGTTTCTCATCCCCGCCCACATACTTTTTAAGAAAATGGTCTTGTTCGCCATTATTGCCATATTGCCATTTTTGACCGTTATTACAAATTTTGTGATGTCTTCAAAATGATATTTGAAAGAAAGACAATTAGAAACGTTCCCAAACCAAAAGTTTTAGTTAAGATACGAAATTTCATACCAAAACTGCCAGTTTCTCTCGATTTACGTAAAAGTTCTACCGAAAGCCAGGGGCAAGGTAGCCTGAAAACAGACCTACGTTTCGCCCGCCCTAAAATTCGCGGGTCGATGGAAAGGGTTTGCGCCTCCCACCCGCGAATTTTAGGGCGAGCAAAACGAAGGTCTGTATTCAGGCTAGGGGCAAGGAAAAAAGCGCGAGACGACTTGGCTACAAAATTATTTCTCTATTCTGTGATTATTTCACATGTGGCCATGTTTTTAATATGAAAACTTGGTTTCAGTTGCCCTCACTAATTTTGTGCTGTTTTGCAATGCTATAAATGCTAAATGCGCACTTTTTTCAAAGTAATATTTACGGAGAGGGGAAATCCGACAAATAATGGCATAATGGTAATGGCCCGCCCGCCCGCATCAACTTTAGGTGAAGCCCCGGATGAGAAACTAATATGCAACAAATAGTGGCCTTACTCTAAAAGGTGAAAATCGGTGTCAATCCTCCGTCCGATTTTCACCTTTTAGCGCAAGGCGAAAAAATAAAGGCCTGACATTCAGGTTAGGTTCTAAATAGAGGTTATTATAAAGCTGATTTTCCAAGTATATAAGAAACTAAAGAAAGCTTCGGAATGATAGGGATGCACCTATCTACATGGCGAGAATGTCTGGCACAGTTGTTGTGGTTTCATTATATTTTTTCAATTCGATATTAGTGTGCAGCCCACAATTAATGACATTAATGTATAAATCAGATTGGTGCGGAAAAGGTGTTTACTTAATTATTAAATTAAACATACTCAACGGTAGGAAAACGTAGGAAATTTCTTTCTATTTCCCCGGTTTTATGCCTGCAGACGTCATTTAATCCCATTTTAAGTAGTATTATGTAACTTTCAATGCATTAAAAGTCATGCATATCAGTTAGAATAATAGTTAGATAGTTAAATAATAATAATAAAAAAAGAATCATACATTCTGATTTACAAAAGTATAAGCGCTATTTGGCTGAATAATATATAATAACATTCATAAAATAAGTAAGTTAAATTTTCTCTGGGGGCATTTGCCCGCTGCTGCCTCCCCTCCCCTACCCCCGCGTACGGCCCCGAACGCAATCATAATTTGGAGGACAATGGAGTAAAAAGGGAGGAATTCACAATCATTCAATCTCCTTGCGCCACTTGAAGCAAGCTTAGCCATGCATGCAAGGATAAATTAATAATCCCATGCAGCATAATTTTGCTTATACAATGTATGTAGCTTCGGTTGTGCAGTTGTCAGAGCAAGCGCCTTTCACCTCCGAGATCGTGAATTCGATTCTTACTATTTGAGTAGAGAGCGTTGACTGACTCTTTTCACACGAGTCTACCGAAAGTCGTGGGTTTTCTCCGCCCGCGGTTTCCTTCCACAGGGACAAGAAAGCAATATCACAATTGTTGTACAGATAAATACACGGCAAAAAACGCTCAGGTTGATGCAATACTGATGAAAACAGGACTGAACAATGTTTAATTTGCTGCCCACATTGTTCATAGCTGTCAACAACATTGAACAATATTGTTACACCCGATTCATGCTCAACAGCATTGTTCAATATTGTTGACAAGTGTGAACAACGTGGGCAGCAAAACATTGTTCAGTCCTGTTGAGCAACGGGCTCGGCCAGCCTAGTCCCAGGCTCTCTCTCTATTCGCTGCTTTGATATATTTAAAAAGTCTTAAAAGTTTTATGCCTGGGTGTGCTGTGCGGAACGCTTCAGCGAGAGAGCCTAGCAGATTTCGGTAAAATGGTCCCTGATTTCAAAAAAGTGGTCCCTGGCCAGGTTACCAAGCATACCTCATTTGTAAATGGAAAATGTTATGGAAATTTCCTTTGCATTTATAATTAAGTCATTAGTTTTGCTCTAATGCTGTCGGAACAATGAAGTAGGCTACGTTTCGCTGCCATACGGTCAGAATGGAATAACGGGCTAAATATGACTCGTGTTTACTAAAATATATAGCCATGTTAAATGCTATCTAGAAGCTTGAAAATTATGCCGAGTCTCCGACTAAGAATGTTTTGACAACACCCGTCATGTCAGGCAAATATTTCCAATCTCCTCAGCAATTTAAACCTGTCAAGTAGAAAGCGTAGTTGTGTATACCAGTATGGTCTAGTGTTGATCACAACTTGCGAGTACATAAATAACATCAACGATTGCTCAAACTCGGTATCGTAAATTTGTATATAAATTTTTTTAGTTGAGCACATTTTTAATACAGTTTGATTTGGTTATGTAGACATCGAACATGTACATGATGAACGAGCATTGTCGTATTTATAATTAAAAGGTTACTTGTATATATAAATTTTCCGCCATATTAAACATACTGAAATCTGCTAGGCGTTCTGAAGCACCTTGAGCGGTGACGTCACACCTAGGTCCCAGTCTCGTCATGTGCTACATCCACTTTTTTCTCGCGCTTGCTTCAGAACGACTGGGACTAGGCTGGGGCTCGGCGTTTTTTTTGCCGTGTAGTCAGGGCTAAGTAAGTAATTAGGTAAGCGTGATACTTGATGTAAGCGCATTTGATCATATCCACATGTAAATTTGCGCTATAGAAATGCTAATCGTAATCTTCCTAGCGCACTCTTGTTCAGAATCCTGGAATGCATTTCCTCTTAATACTTACAGAAAAAATGTTATACAGGGTGTATAAAAAAAAGAGACCTTTAGAAATAAAAAATGTTATACAGGGTGTATAAAAAAAAGAGACCTTTAGAAATCAAGCATATTGTTAAAATTTGAATGCCTTTTCAATTGCACATATGCTGAACCGTAGTGCGTGAAATATTGATGGGGTGCATATATTAGAAAAAGGAGACCTTTAGAAATTGAACGTTTAAACAAAAGGTTGTCTGCTCCTGGGAACAATCTGCCATGCATACTGTACGTAGATCGCATGTTACGCACTCGTAGGCTTAGCAAAGTGCTCCAGGATTCAAATTATAACAATGGTTGATTTCAAAAGGTCTCCTTTTTCTAATATATGCACTCCATCAATATTTCACGCACCATGGTTCAGCATATGTGCAATTGAAAAGGCATTCAAATTTTAACAATATGCTTGATTTCTAAAGGTCTCCTTTTTTTTATACACCCTGTAGATATCCAATTATTATTTTCCCTAGTAGCCTCAGTGTTTCTCAACAATTCCCCTCAAAACATGCCACACCTATTTCCTTAGGATCGACATGTTACAAAACATGCAACTTTAGAGTTTAGTTTGAATTCAAGTTTCCACGAGACAAACCATTTGTTCGCACGAAGCGATTTTTCCTTTGTCGGCGGACGCGATTCGACAATGCGCGATTTTTCAGTTTTTGAAAGTTAATAAAACAGCCAATGAAAGGAAATTTTAAAAGATATGTAGACCAAATAACTCAAAATGTTATAGCACTTCTAAATGATTGAAAAAACTTAAACCTGCAGGATCAAAATTACCGGTCGTGAAAATCGAAAAATTGTGTTGCGTTGGCGAATCGCCTCCGGTGTGTCTCGGCCTTTACACGTCAGCAAAAGTGACGCCGACAAAAGAAAAAGTTGCCAAGTGGAAAAAGGGATTTAATTTTGTTATAACACTTGGATGATCAAGGTCAAGGAGGGAATGTCTGCGATGCAATCGCATTGCAATCAGATGCATTGTCTTGGATCAATGATGAATAACATGCATCCTTTGTCTACCTGAGGTCATTTGCCATTTTCCCGCGCGTTCAATCTTAGTCCGGGAAACAATAAAACGAAGGAAAATAGAGGGATTGCTCGCAGTCTACTGAGGTCATTACAATATGATCATTAACAATAGTCCATGTGAGAACCAGGTTTTAAAGCAGTTCGCTTAAATTAGACCTCATATTTATAATTAGCCTCATCTGTAAAATCTTCAAGGTTTAGAGAATCGGTACTAAGAGCTAGCTGAGTTCAAAGGCCACAGACTTAATTAACAAACATTTTTTTAGAAAGAATTATACCGTAACTCGTAAGGAACGTTTTTTTTTATGTTTTTACCTAAACATATCTATTAGTTGGAGTGTTTTCCCCCAAAAAACATCAGGCTTAACGAGATACACAAAACATTCTTTTTTTTAAATTGAAAAGACAAAACACAGTTCTTGTACACTACAGTAGTACACACAAACACAAGTTACCGTAGAAACACAATTCTTCTATAGCGAAGCATTCATGAAATACACGAGGGTTTCAACGTTGATGAATAGAAATTAAAAATCATCTACTATTCACTTGATGAACCCACTTTTCTCATCAATCAAAGCAATACACTCCAAGGTCAGACAGGGATGAATGTCAACAATGTGAATGTATTAACTCCCATGACAATTCGCGGCTTGAAACCAGTATATACAGAAATAGGCAAGTCGTTGAAATAACGGGATGATGCAACTGATGCGTCAAGGCCATGTTTATAAGCACTTGCTTTCGTTTCCGCACAATGTTCTTCGTTCTGGAAATATGTCAAGCGACGACAAAAAGGGAGAGTAAAGCGACGACAAAAAGGGAGTTGTTTGTCATGAAACGTTCTTCTGCTGGAATGTACATCCCTCGAAACGTTGCAGATGAAATATCAGTCAGTTGAGACTGCACAAACCACGACATGGTATCTGCACAAGCTTGAGCAGGCACAATTATATAGCTTTAGTTTCTACAAATAACGTGACGCACAAATATAAGCAAAAAATAAGGGAGGATTTCCACTTACAGAGAAATATTTCACTTCATTTCTTTTGAATTGTGACCATCCGAATAAGCCAGTGCTACTTGACCGCTCAAAATTCAAAGAAATTGAGCGAAAAATTTCGACAGCAAAATTTTTCTTGTAAGTGGAAATCCAACTTAAGACAAACTAAGCATATAGCTGTAAAATTTTATATGAAACAAAAAGAGATGTGCAAACTTAATAAGATCCATGACCATGCATGCATATATATACATATATGAATTATTTAGAAAATATTTTGTATTTATATAGTTAACAAACAACAATACTTGAGTCGCAAACGACACTACGATTTGAAAATTATTGAAGAGAAAGAATTTTTCGTGATTGCATGATACAGGTAAATCTGAACCACTGATTAAATTCCAATGCTGTCATACCTCAATTGACGATTTCTCATTACAATATGTTTAGATTTAACATGCCTTGCTAAATGACTGGAATTATTAAAGCAGCTTGAACAATATGTACAATTGTAAGGTCTTTCTCCGCTATGTATAAATAAATGTCGTTTAAGATTTCCTCGTACTGAAAATGTTTTGGAACAAATGTCACAACGATATGGTTTCAATCCGGTATGCACACGATTATGAATTTCTAATGCACTTGGTCTGTTGAAGATGATGTTGCAAATACGACATTCTAGGTCTTCGTTATCTGAAAGAAATTAAATAGCATTCCTCTAGAGTGTCTAGAGTGGGACAGGTTGACTACTTATGGGCGTGCAGTTTATATCATTATTACATTAACTAGTCTACAGCTTTATCCACGTAGCGCTGCGGTACTGAAATAAAGTAGTTCAAACATGTAAATATCTTTAAAAAGTTGACTTGAAATAGTTTTCTTTTTTATGTTACTATTACTGTTGTATATATATTGTTCAATTGTACATGCATGAGCATGCAAGCATCAAAGCTAAGATGCAAGATTAGAAGAAAAGATGGGAAAACGATAGTCAGGCACTCTACTCGAGGTTGGGTAAGTAACAATGTTTGTTACACAATGTTTATATTGGTCTCTGTATATGACGGTACCAACCCCATGGAAGAAATAATAATAAACAATTCCTTTCTGGCTTAATATATACAAATTATGGAATAAAAGTTGCTAAGCCATTGCAACTATGGAATAAAATTTGCTCAGCCATTCGTGGTCATGTGGCAATGGCGATCATATCAGCTAGTACAAAATTACAAACATATATATACTCAAACCATTAATTTTAGAGAAAGAACGTTGGAATTCCCTCACTATATTTTTCAAACTGATGAGACCTATGCAACCAACTGCTTTATGTATATAGAGTAGAAGATCCGGGGTTATATTATTCTTCTATTACATTTTGAAATAATGAAATTTATGTATATATTTCAAACCTTTATGTTTGTTATCGGTGTGTCTGTAATATCCAGCAAGACTACCAAACGTTCTTCCACAGTAAGCACATATGAGTACATTGTCTTGTTTTAGATCAGTTGCATCTTGAACAATATTGTTTCCAAGAACATAGTATGGTTGAGTCGCAGTAGAGCAAGGTTTTGCGATTTTAAAGTGGACCTTTTTATGGCATTGTAAACCATCAGACCTGGTGAAAGTTTTCCCACAAATCTCACAATGAAAAGGTCGTTCTCCAGTGTGTATTCTTTGGTGAGATTTCCAATGTGAACGCCATTTAAAACTTTTCTTGCATATCAGACAGCCATACTTTCTTTCTGCATTGTTCGACTTACGAAACAAAGATTCCTTATTTATGGCTTGTTGATCTTCAGATGATTCATCAGAATCTTTGCTTTGATCGTGTTCTTGCGCCGACATTGTATATGCTTGAATAGTCCCCACTGTAGAAAGATCACGACCGTCTGTCTTCGAATTTATATCCGCAGTAAAATTTTTGCCAACCCATTTAATAACACTAGGTCTACATTTCAAAACACTCGCAGAAACATTGCCATTCATTTCGAAAACGCGAAATTCATTCAGATCTATTTTGCTCATGAACGAAACAGTTCTTGTGCATGAATGTTGAATGCCAATACAATTTCACAAGTGCAACATAATAGGCACTACTTTAATATCCTTATTACAAAGACACACTAGTGGTAAATTTCGCACGTGATCGTTTTCCTTTAGTTTGGAGAAGCTTTGTAAAATGAAGAACGAAGCGCGCGAAGAGTGACGGGATATTATTTTGCTAGCGGGAGACGTTCAGTGAAATGAATGGCGAGAATATAAAGAATATACAGAAATAAACAATTTTTTTTCGATGCCAGTACCACGATTAATAATATGTACCCTTTATTAGCTAATGCGTAAATTTGTAGATCATCATGGAATCTTAGAAATACAATCGTCCTGACACAACATCTATAGGAAACACATCTAAATGAAGAGTCAGTACAGGACTACATGCGCTAGAACTGAATGAGACTTCTATATACAAAATATAAATTATCGAAAGATATCTACATACCAAAGGATAGTACTTTATGAACTGGATTTTGATATTTCTGAACAGGTCAAGCTGTGAACTCATCTTAAAATCACGCAAGAAAGATGCATTTGTGATTCGTAAGTTTGATTATTCGTAAATACACGAGGGTTTCAACGTTGATGAATTGAAATTAAAATCATCTACTATTCACTTGATGGACTCACTTTTTCATCAATTAAACCAAAACACACCAAGGTAAGACAGGGATGAACGTCAACAATGTCAATGTACTAATTCCCGGCTTGAAACCAGTATATACAGAAATAGGCTAGTCGTTGAAATAACGGGATGACGCAACTGATGTCAAGGCCATGTTTATACAAGCACTTGCTTTCGTTTCTGAACAATCGTCTTCGTTCTGGAAAGCTGTCTAAGTCTTAGTAAAGCGGCGACAAAAAGGGAGATGTTTGTCATGAAACGTTCTTCTGCTGGAAGGTACATCCCTCGAAACGTTGCAGACGAAATATCAGCCAGTTGAGACTGCACAAACCACGACACAGTGATATCAGAAGCTTGAGCAGGCAGGATTAGTAGCGATTACACGCGATACCATGTATAAGTAGAGCATATAAGGGTGGATATCCATGACTTACGGAGAAATATTTCACTTCATTTCTTTTGAATTATGACCATCCGAATAAGCCAGTGCTACTTGACCACTCAAAATTCAAAAGAAATTGAGCGAAAAATTTCGACAGCGAAATTTTTCTTGCAAGTGCAAATCCAGCTTAAGACAATCTAAGCATAGCTGTAAAATTTATGAAACAAAAAGTGGAGTGCAATCTAAATAAGATCCATGCAGCATGCATATATACACAAATGAATTATATAGAGGAAAATGTTTTGTATATATAGATCATAGTTTACAAACAACAATACTTGAGTCGCGAACGACACTATGATTTGAATATTATTAAAGAGAAAGAACTTTTCGTGTTTGCATGCATGAATAATTTTGAGTCCAAAGATTTTGGTAAATTTGAACCACTGATTAAATTCCAATGCTGTCATTCCTCAACTGATTCACGACTTGCTCATTATGTTTAGATTTAACATGTCTCGCTAAATGACTGGAATTATTAAAGCAGCTTGAACAATATGTACAATTGTAAGGTCTTTCTCCACTATGTATAAATAAATGTCGTTTAAGATTTCCTCGTAATGAAAATGTTTTGGAACAAATGTCACAACGATATGGTTTCAATCCGGTATGTACACGATTATGAATTTCTAATGCACTTGGTCTGTTGAAGATGATGTTGCAAATACGACATTGTAAGTCTTCGTTATCTGAAAGAAATTAAATAGCATTCCATTAGAGTGCCCAGAGTGGTACAGGTTGACTACTTATGCATGGGCGCAAAGTTTACATCATTAACTACAGCTTGAAGGCCCATACAGACCGAACGCGATTCGAGAACGCGACGCGGATTTTCAGTTTTTAAAATCAATTCAAAAACTCATTAATAATTCATGAAGCAATTATCCAATCTTGAGTAAGAACTTAGTCACGTGCATATGTCTTTATACCAGCTAAAGAACACTTTAACAAAAGACCATTGTTATGCAAACTATATAAAGATTTTTATATAAAGATTTTTATATAAAGATTTTTATATAAAGATCTTTATATAATGATTTGACTTATTATGCAAACGTTTTTGAAGCCATTTAAAAACTCGCAGGTCGTGTTTTATTAGGTCTAAAGCCACTCGCGCTGCGCGGCTCTAAACCTAATACAACACTCCTGCTCGTTTTTTAAATAGTACATAAAACCGTCAACGGATAAAAATTTTACAAGATATGCAGACCAAATAGCTAAAATTACTTAAGTGGTTCCGAATATTTGAAAAACAGAAAAATAGTAAAGTTAAATGTCATTGAAAATTCGCGTCGCGATGACGAATCGCGTCCGATCAGTGTGGGCCTTTATCCGCGTAGACTCGTAGTGCTGCGGAAATAAAGTAGTTCTACATGCAAATGTCTTTAAAAACTAAGTTGACCTTAAATAGTTTTCTTTTTTATGTTACTATTATTGCTGTATATTGTTCAATTGTACATGAGCAAACGCTAATATTCTTCTTTCGATATTCGAATACAGAGTTACAAGATTAGGGGAAAAAAGATAGGAAAAACGATGGTCGGGCACTGGAGGTTGGATAAATAACAATGTTTGTTACACAATGTTTATATCGGTTTCTGTACGGTACCAACCCCAAGAAAGAAATAATAAACAGTTCCTTATACTATGTACAAATTATGGAATAAAAGTTGCCTAGCCAATGCAACTACGGAATAAAATTTGCTAAACCATTCGTGGTCATGATGGCAATGGCGACCATATCTTGCCACTAGTATAAAATTACAAACATATATACTCCAATCATCAATTTTTAGAGAAAGGACGTTGGAATTTTCTCGCTATATGTTTCAAACTGGCGAGGGCCTATGCAACCAACAGCTTTATGTAGAGTAGAAGATCACTATATTATTCTTCTATTTGGGAACATTGGGCCCAATTAACTAATTGTTACTGAGGCTGTTATATTTGGAAATAATGAAACTTATGTATATATTTCAAACCTTTATGTTTGTTATCAGTGTGTCTGTAATATCCAGCAAGACTACCAAACGTTCTTCCACAGTAAGCACATACGAGTACATTGTCTTGTTTTAGATCAGTTGCATCTTGAACAATATTGTTTCCAAGAACATAGTATGGTTGAGTCGCAGTAGAGCAAGGTTTAGCGATTTTAAAGTGGACCTTTTTATGACATTGTAAACCATCAGACCTGGTGAAAGTTTTCCCACAAATCTCACAATGAAAAGGTCGTTCTCCAGTATGTATTCTTTGGTGAGATTTCCAATGTGAACGCCATTTAAAACTTTTCTTGCATATCAGACAGCCATACTTTCTTTCTGCATTGTTCGACTTACGAAACAAAGATCCCTTATTTATGGCTTGTTGATCTTCAGATGATTCATCAGAACCTTTGCTTTGCTTGTGTTCTTGCGCCGACATTGTATATGCTTGAATAGTCCCCACTGTAGAAAGATCACGACCGTCTGTCTTCGAACTTATAGCTGCAGTAAAATTTTTGCCAACCCATTTAATAACACTAGGCCTACATTTCAAAACACTCGCAGAAACATTGCCATTCATTTCGAAAACGCGGAATCATTCAGATCTATTTTCCTCATGAACAAACAGTTCGTGTGCATGAAGGTTGAATGCCAATACAATTTCACAAGTGCAACATATATGATAGGCACTATACTTTAATATCCTTATTACAAAGACACACTAGTGGTAAATTTCGCACGTGATCTTTTTCCTCTAGTTTGGAGAAGCTTTGGAAAATGAAGAACGAAGCGCGCGAAGAGTGACGGGATACTGTTTTGCTAGTGGGAGACGTTCAGTGAAATGAATGGCGAGAATATAATGAATATATAGAAATAAACATTTTTCGATGCCAGTACCATGATTAATAACATCTACAATTTATTAATGCGTAAATTTGTAGATCATCATGGAATCAAAGAAATACAATCGTCCTGACACAACATCTAGGAAACACATCTAAATGAAGAGTCAGTTCAGGACTACATGCGCTAGAACTGAATGAAACTTCTATATACAAAATATAAATTATCGAAAGATATCTACATACCAAAGGATAGTACTTTATGAACTGGATTTTGATATTTTCGAACAGGTCAAGCTGTGATCTCATCTTAAATTCCCGCAAGAAAGATGCATTTGTGATTCGTAGGCTAAGTTTGATTATTCGTAAATACACGAGGGTTTCAACGTTGATGAATTGAAATTTAAAATCACCTGCATGTACAATTCACTTGATGCACGGACCCACTTTTTTCATTAAATAAACCAAAACACACCAGGGTCAGACAGGGATGAATCGGTCAACAATGTCAATGTACTAACTCCCGTAATTCCCAGCTTGAAACCAGTATATACAGAAATAGGCTAGTCGTTGAAAATTGGAATAACGGGATGACACAACTGATGAGTCAAGACAATGTTTATAAGGGGCCGTCGACAAATAGATTTCGTCCACCGATCGCGGACTTGTTCCGCGACTGCTTCAACCCCCTCCCCCTTCCCCATCGCGGACCAATGCAACGATTTTTTAGCCAGAAAAGTAAGTTTTTGTCCTGATTATTTTGCACTCGCGGATTCAAGGCTAACCCCCTCCCCCCATCGCGGAACTCGACGGCCCCGAAGCATGCACTTATTTCGTTTCTGCGTAATCGTCTTGGTTCTGGAAAGATGTCTAAGTCTTAGTAAAGCGACGACAAAAAGGGAAATGTTTGTCATGAAACGTTCTTCTGCTGGAATATACATCCCTCGAAACGTTGCAGATGAAATATCGGCCAGTTGAGACTGCACAAACCACGACATGATATCAGAAGCTTGAGCAGGCAGGATTATAACGATCATACGCGATACCATGTGAACAGAGCATAAGGGAGGATTTCAACTTACAGAGAAATATTTCACTTTATTTCTATTGAATTGTGGCCATCCGAATAAACCTAGCCTGCTCGCAGCCCAGAATTTCGTTCAAAGGAAAACCGGAAATTTTCGCCTTCAAATTTTCGGATGGGGGCTGCTGAGCAGGCTAAATAAGCCGTGCGTGCAGTTCAACTTCACCGCTCACAATTCAAAAGAAATTGAGCGAAACATTTTGACAGCGAAATTTTTCTTGCAAGTGGAAATCCAGCTTAAGACAAGCTAAGCATAGCTAGCGCTGTAAAATTTATGAAACAAAAACTGAAAAAGAGGAGTGCAATCTAAATAGATCCATGCATGCATATATACACATATGAATTATATAGAGGAAAATGTTTTATATCTATAGTTTACAAACAACTATACTTGAGTCACGAACGACACTATGATTTGAATATTATTGAAGAGAAAAAACTTTTCGTCTTTGCATGCATGAATAATTTTGAGTCCAATGACTTTGGTAAATCTGAGCCACTGATTAAATTCCAATGCTGTCATTCCTCAACTGATTCACGACTTGCTCATTATGTTTAGATTTAACATGTCTCGCTAAATGACTGGAATTATTAAAGCAGCTTGAACAATATGTACAATTGTAAGGTCTTTCTCCGCTATGTATAAATAAATGTCGTTTAAGATTTCCTCGTACTGAAAATTTTTTGGAACAAATGTCACAACGATATGGTTTCAATCCGGTATGTACACGATTATGAATTTCTAATGCACTTGGTCTGTTGAAGATGATGTTGCAAATACGACATTCTAGGTCTTCTTTATCTGAAAGAAATTAAATATAGCATTTCTCTAGAGTGCCTAAGAGTGCTACAGATCGACTACTTATGGGCGTGCAGTTTACATCATTAACTACAGCTTTATCCACGCAGACTCGTAGTGCTGCGGAAACAAAGTGGTTCAAACATGCAAATGTCTTTAAAAAGTTGACCTTAAACAGTCAATTTCTTTTTTATGTTACCATTATTGTTGTATATTGTTCAAATGTTTGTAGTGCACAATGTGTATATCGGTTTGTGTACGGTACCAACCCCAAGGAAGAAATAACAATAAACAATTCCTTACTATGTACAAATTATGGAATAAAAGTTGCTTAGCCAATGCAACTATGGAATAAAATTTGCTGAGCCATTCGTGGTCATGATGGCAATGGCGACCATATCTTGCCACTATAGTATAAAATTACAAACAGATACACTCCAATCATCAACTTTTAGAGAAAGAACGAATTTTCTCGCTATATTTTTCAAACTGGCGAGGACCTATATGCAACCAACAGCTTTATGTAGAGTCGAATATCGCTATATTATTCTTCTATTTGGGAACATTGGGCCCAACTAATTGTTACTGCATGAGGCTGTTATATTTAGAAATAATGAAACTGGAATATTTCAAACCTTTATGTTTGTTATCGGTGTGTCTGTAATATCCAGCAAGACTACCAAACGTTCTTCCACAGTAAGCACATATGAGTACATTGTCTTGTTTTAAATCAGTTGCATCTTGAACAATATTGTTTCCAAGAACATAGTATGGTTGAGGCGCAGTAGAGCAAGGTTTTGCGATTTTAAAGTGGACCTTTTTATGGCATTGTAAACCATCAGACCTGGTGAAAGTCTTCCCACAAATCTCACAATGAAAAGGTCGTTCTCCAGTATGTATTCTTTGGTGAGATTTCCAATGTGAACGCCATTTAAAACTTTTCTTGCATATCAGACAGCCATACTTTCTTTCTGCATTGTTCGACTTACGAAACAAAGATCCCTTATTTATGGCTTGTTGATCTTCAGATGATTCATCAGAACCTTTGCTTTGCTTGTGTTCTTGCGCCGACATTGTATATGCTTGAATAGTCCCCACTGCAGAAAGGTCACGACCGTCTGTCTTCGAATTTATATCTGCAGTAAAATTTTTGCCAACCCATTTAATAACACTAGGCCTACATTTCAAAACACTCACAGAAACATTGCCATTCATTACGAAAACGCGAATTCATTCAGATCGTATGAAGGTTGAATGCCAATACAATTTCAGAAGTAGAAAATAATAGGCACTACTTTAATATCCTTATTACAAAGATACAGTAGTGGTGAATTTCGCACGTGATCTTTTTTCTTTTGTTTGGACAAGCTTCAGTGTAAAATGAAAAAACGAAGCGCGCGAAGAGTGACGGGATATTATTTGCTAGCGGGAGACGTTCAGTGAAATGAATGGTGACAATATAATGAATATATAGAAATAAACATTTTTTCGATACCATTACCATGATCAATCAAATGTACACTTCATTAATGCGTAAATGTATAGATCATCAAAGTTAACCAAATATTGCTAATGATGCATGCGGTCTTTCCGTAAATTTAGTTATGGTTCGACCAAACCTACGCGGCATTCCATTTTTGGATTTGGATTCATGGTGTGTGAAAGGATGTAGGTAGGTTTTCATAGGAAAATATGAGGTTTTCAGGAAGTGTAATCGTTTCCTGGGCCTAGAATTAGATTTTTCGGGATTGCATAAAATCTTAGAAATACAATCGTTTTGATACAACATCTAGGAAAAACATCTACATGAAAAGTGGGTATACTACAACTATATACAAAATATAAACTATCTACACAAACTAAAGGATAGCACTATAGAAACTGGATTATGATATTTCCGAACAGGTCAAGCTATCATCTCATCTTAAATTCATTCAACGTGAGAAAGAGGCATTTGTGATTCATACATTTTAGGCCACAATATATTGTCTGATATTTACATCAGTATTAAAACGGTGCCCAATGAGCGAGGACAGAAGGCATGGTACCAACGCAGCAGAGGAATTACAACAAGCACTAGAAAAGTGGAACAACCAACTGACAGCACAGTATGCGGATGAACAAAGTAAAAACGAAAGTATTGAAAGTCTGAAGAGGATTGCCAAGATTGCGTATCACAGTGGACGGACTGCGAAAACTATCCTTGCATAGTTTAGTTATACAATAATACCACAGAATAAGTCATACAGAAGGTCGACTTCTTTGTTTTTCCTATGATTTTCCCGGCTATGATTTTGGCGTAACCGTAATTCATCATCAAAATGCTGACGCCATGGTCGCAGCCAGTGCGCGTTTGAGAGGCATTCACCCCCTGATAATAGCGAGGTTTAGCAAAGACGACGCGACGTCAACGAGGACGTGAAAATGGCGTAAAAATGGCGTGATATGCCCATCTATGGATGTGCCCACGCCATATTTACGCCATTTTCACGTCCTCGTTGACGTCGCGTCGTCTTTGCTAAACCTCGCTAATACCTCCATGGCGACGGCCAATTCTGCCTCGGCTGCCGCTAAAGCTTCTTTCTTCGGTGCTACAACACGTGCAACCCTGAAAACAATCAATTTTAACCTCAGGTTAAACTAAAATAGTACAAGATGAGTTTATGAAACACAGGAAGAAGCTAGCTAAATTCCGGTGAAGCCGTGCCGAAAGTGAAAACAAAAACTCAATTCTAAAGCAAGCAGAAAAAAATGCAAAACAATTCTTCCGTAATAAACTTTAACCACAGCTAATAGAAAGATAAACTTTCTAATGTTTATCTTTCGATTAACCATATGCGTTAACGCCATAGGGA